TAAAAACCAATGGAAAATATCCTTGGGTAAGGATTAAAAAAAAAGAGTCCCATCCCAGGTATCACACAATCACATTCCAGCCAAATAGGCCCCACCATGAAAACTCCCCCAAAGGCTTCCACCTGCTCCCCACACTCTGCTGACAGACCCCCTACCTGTCTCCGATAAACAGCGTCCTGTTGACCCGCAGGACCCGCTGGATGTTGAGGTCATCGGCGCCCTCTACGGGGGTCAGGCGTCCTGGCCCGCTACCCACGAACACGGGATAGTGGTTCAGGTCTGGGGGAGGGGGAACAGAGGAGGTGATTCAGAACCGGATGCGCCTGGCCTAGTGAGTCCCGGGGGAAGAGGGGGAGCAGGCTCAGTCGGGGAGCAAGCCTCCTCGGGACACCCCCTCCCCCAGGATCCCCACTCACAGTCCCTGGGGGCCACGCTGAGCGGCGGTGGCTCCTCGGGGAAGAGTCCGTGGGCGCCCCCCAGGAGCAGCAGCAGGAGCAATAGGGCCAGGCGGGGAGGGGGCACTCGCGGAGTCCGCATGGCGAGGTCCGGACGACAGGAGGTGACACCTGCGGGGCGAGGGGTAGGGCGGTGAGCGGCGTGGCCTGCACCCGCCGCCAGATGGCGCTTACGAGCCGCAGCGGCCTGGACTTTCAATCTCCAGAAAAATTCCCCCTTGGGATAATTTGAAATAACAGCAATCACGGCACTAACAATAATAATACCAGCACTTGTTTAATTACCACAACAACGTTCTTACCACATATTAGTGAAAGCTCAGGAAACTGTTTCTAGCAAAAAATTAATAATATTTAAATTAAATGATTTTAATTTGTAAAATTAAATGATTTTAAATAAACAATAATAATAATGATAATAGATACATTTCAAAAGATATTTTAAAAATTAATCTCAAAAGTAGAATTAAAACATAAATATCTTAAAATGAAAGCCTCAAAAAAGTTCAAAGTCCTTTGGAATTTTATCAACCACAATCTGGGAATTGCGGTACTTTAGAATCACAGAATATTCCGGCTGGCCAGGGGCCTCAAAGGCCCCCGGGTAAGTTTGACTTCCTTCCGGAGACCAGCCTTTCTGTCCTCTGCTCCAGTGCCCCTGTGACAGGTGCCTCACTACTTCTCCAGGGGGTCTGTTTCCCACTCCCATTCAAAGAATTTTAAAGAAATTTCCAGGCATGTGGAGTGAAGGCCCCCCCCAACTAAATGACTATCTGATTGGTGGAAGTGTTTGTAGAACTCACCCTCTGGAACCTAGCCGTCCATACCCCTTCCAGAACGGGGTGCAGTCCAGAGGCCCCAAATAAGAAACCCACAGCCTTGTCCTTCTGAGAAGTCCCAGCAAGCTCCATGCTTCACTTTCCACATCTCAGTAGCAGGGACATTTCCAAGCCCTGCCCAGGCCTCAAAGGAAATTCTGAGCCCCTGGTGAGGGAACTTTGGCCCTGGAGTGCCTGCTTCCTGGTCTTCAGGGCCAAAACAGGAAGGCCTTGCAGGGACCAGCAGGGCTTCCTCTCTATGACCCTGAACTTCCAGGATTTGTGACTCAGAGGACATCCGGATCCCACATGTGCACAGCCGTGACATTCCTTCTTTAAGAGTTTCCTTCCCCAGATCCTCCCCTGCTCCGCAGCCTCCCATGGCTCCCAATGACCCCAGGTCTAGGCCCCATCCACTGTCTGGCATTCAAGCCCCCAACTTTACTGCTAACCCCACTGGTGCCTACCCCACTCTTCTTCCCTACACCACCAGCCTGGACAACCCTGACCTCTCTGGTGCTCTGTCTGCTCTGTGCCTTTTTTTTTTTATTAAAAAAAAACACATTTTTGTACATTGTGGTAAAATATATATAACATAAAATTTACTATCTTAACCATTTTTAAGTGTACTGTTCAGTGGCATTAAGCCCACTCACAATGTACAACCGTCACCACCATCCATCTCCAGAACTTGCTCACCTTCCCAAACTGAAACTCTGTTGCCATTTAAACACTAACTCCCACTCTCTCCCCCAGCCCCTGGCTCCCACCATCTACTGTCTGTCTCTATGGCTCTGACTCCTCTAGGGACCTCCTGTGAGTGGAATCACACGTTATTTGTCCTTTTGCATCTGGCTTATGTCACTGAGCATAATGTCCTCAAGGTTCATCCATGTTGTAGCACATGTCAGAATTTCTTCCTTTTTAAGGCTGAATATTCCGGTGCGAGGATGGGCCGCCCTGTGTCCATCCGTCACCTGCGCATGGGCGCTGCGTTGCTTGCACCTCTTGGTAACTGAACGGTGCTACTGGGAACAGGGGCGCCAACCGCCTCTTGGAGGCTCCGCTTCCTATTCTTTTGGGCATGTACCCGGAAGTGAAATTGCTGGGTCATATGGTAACTTTATGTTTATTTATTTTTTAGAAAATGCCATACTGTTTCCACAGTGGCCCCACCACTTTACCTTCCCACCAACAGTACGCGGTGTTCCAACTGCTCCACAGCCTCCCATCACTCCTCGTTGCGTGTTTTTTGATCGCAGCCACCCTAATGAGTGTAAGGTGATGCTTTGTGTCTTTTCAGGTTAGTTATTCTGACGATAATACAGAACTGAACGCCACATGCTCTTTTTTGGGGAGTCTGGGCTACTTTAGGGCCAACCCACTGTACCTGGCCTCAGTTTACCTCCCCCCACCCGGGGTTACCAGAGGCCTCAGCACCTCCCCCAGCTCCCCTAAGACCATCTGCTTCTCTCCATGAAACTCGAGGCGCCTCTGCTAGCAGCCGCCCGGCGCCCGCCTGCCGGGAAGCCGCCCCACCACCTGCCCCAGCACCTGGCCACCGGGAGCTGCCACCAGGCAGGGACGTGTGTGGCCAGCATGTGCACCCCATGGCTTGCAGGGCACCCATACACTCACATGTCTGTGTGCCTGCGGAGGGGACATGCTTGCTGCCTGCAGCCTTGGGACATGCATTCATGCCCATGGGGGCGGGGGACAGTTATAAATTGGTAAAGCAATAATTCCCATCCAGAAGGGCTCAAGCTGTGGTTGGGCCTCTCAGCTTGACCCCTCAACCATCACTCCAACTCGTGACAGGCAATCCCATTGTACAGATGAGGAAGCTGAGGCAGAGATGGAAATTCCTCAAGGCCACCACACTTCATCTCCCCCCATGGCCAAGTGGTCTCTGGAATGACTTCCCAGGTATTACACTGCCTTAATTACTATTAGTTTGTCACAGGTTTGAATTTCCTTCTGGAACATTTTTCTTACTTCTTCCTGCCCTGGTGCCTGGGCTACTCTTGAAGCCCAGGGCTTCAGTATAAATTTTAGGATCAGCTGGTAAGTTCCAAAACAAGCAACAGATAAAACAAGCCCTCTCAGGATTTTTACTGGAAGGTGCTGAATGTATAGATCCAATTGAACTACTGACTGACAGCTGATGTTCCTCCACCCAACGGGTGCTTCCTTGGTCCTGCCTGTTGCAGCTGAGGGCTCGGGCCACACCCAGGAATCACTTTCCAATTCCTATCAACACCCCCGCTGCCCCCAGCCTCACCCTCTCACCCGCACATCCAATGCTAGCAAGTCTTGTGGGTTCTGCCTTCAAATTTATCCAGAATTCTCACCCATTCCCAGTCCAATCCCTGGTCAGCCCCAGTCATCTCCTGCGTGGACCAGTGCAGCACCCTCCGCCCTGATCCCCTGGCTTCCACCCTTGCTCCCCCAGCCTGTTTTCCCTGCATCAGCCACCAGAGGGCCTGTGTGAGCACCTATGTCAGGGCTATGCCAGCTTTCTGTCCGCAGCCCTCCTGGACTCCCACCTTCCTAGGGGTAAAAGCCTAAGTCCTTCCAGTGGCCCACAAGGCCTTGTATGACCTGCCTTCATCTGCCCCTCTTTGCCCTCATCTCCTCCCTCTCTCTTTGCTCATTCTGCTTCAGCCACACAGGCCTCCTTTCCGTTCCTCCATCATGCCAGGCACAGTCCTGCCCCAGGGCCTTTGCACGGGATGTTCCCCCACACCCGAAAGCCTCTTCTTCCAGATATCCACAAGTCTCCCTCTTTATTTCAGGTCTCTGCTGAAATGCTGCCTCCTCAGAGAGTCCTCCCCACCCCCATCACCCTGGACTCCA